CCTCCCTCTTCCAGTCTCTGATCACAGCTAAACTTTTGGGGGCAGTTACTAGTCCCTTGCTCTCCAGGGGACAGAGAGTTAAGATGCGGGATATGGATTGGGGATGCAGTGATAGAGGGCTTACGTAGAATGCTCAAGTCCCGGGGTTCAATCTCTGGTTCCAAAAGCGGGGTGCTTAACAGCCCTCAAGGGGCAAGGATACTTGATTCTGCCATTTTCTTTTTCTTTTTCTTTCCTTTTGTGGTGCTGGGGATTGAACACAGGGCCTTGTGCCTGTGAGGCAGGTACTCCACCAACTGAGCCAGCCCCTAGGGATCCCCTTCCAATCTCAACTTAGTTTGCTTACAGACCATCCTTCCCTGGTTACCATGAAGATGTAGGGATCCCCACTCCCCAAAAATCAGATGGAACACATTCAGCTTGGTGAGAGCTGTTCTAAACATTTACTCTCTAGATCGGCTCCTGGATTCTATAGGACTATGTCCCTCCCTGCTGGGCTCCAGCCAGATGCAGGCTGGGATTCCCCTAACCCACCCCATGATGCCCTCAGTCCAGCCTAGGATTGCTCTCTCTCTCATCCAGGGTCATTTGTCCCAGTATCTTCTGCCCCCAACTCATATGCTCGCTCAGATATTGTGTCACACTCATAGTTGGGGCTTCAAGCCACGCCTCTCTCATGTGAAGTCTTCTTCTTCTGAGTTTAGTAGTACGTCTCCCTCTCCAGCCAGCCTACAGAGGAGGAGAGATCAGGGTGAACTGCGAGAAGGCAGCAGGGGAGCCGGGCAGAAGGGGAACCAAGGGGAAGGTTGGGGGCCTGTGGTCTGGAACATGAACAGGTGGAGTCAGGGACAAGAGGGCTGGGGTCCAGGCATAGTAAAGTGACATGGGAGGGGGGGATGCCAGCAAGTCCTGAGAAGCCAGGCCTGATGGGAGAGCTTATTAGGGGATGGTGACCCCCTGCTGTAGATGAGGGCTGGGGAGCCTCACCGCCAGGCTGTTGACGGATGATGAGTTTCCTGATCTCGTCGTAGGCGAAGATGAGAATGCTGTAGGGGAGGGCGCAGAACCACCAGGCCAACCTGTGGAGGGCAAGATTTGGTCAATGTGGCTGACGTTACAGAGGCCGGAAAAGAACACGCTCAGAGACAACACGTGGGAGTCGCGTGTTCCATGTCCGTGCTCACGTGTGGCTGAGAGTGTGCCGGAGACAGTCTGTGAGTAAGGTAAAGTTGATCCCCACCTTTGAGGAGGTCAGAGTCTGGGGGGTTAGTGATTGGGCCAATGATGGGGTTAGTGATTGGGCCAATGATAACACAATAAACGTCATATTCAGAGGTATAACCAGTGTTCGCAGGGATTGTCTGTCGACTTCCATGGAACTGCAGAGGGAGATTCCCTTTGCTTTCTTTATGCTCTAGATCTCGAACTTAACAAAGGGGAGGTTGCTGGAGCAGGATGGGTTTATCTGAAACAATCCCCAGATACCCAGTATGGAGATATTCTACCAAGAAAACAAAATAACAAACACACTCCCCCCCACACACACCCCTATACACATATAGGATTCCATATACATTTGTAAGAATATATACATATATATGTATATATAATTTCATATTGCAAAAACAGGGATTTTTTTTCTGCCTGTGCCTCTTT